TTTCTGAAGATACGGGTAAACAACGCGATTTAACAGCCTTTGAACGTGGGATGATTGTTGGCGCTCGGAGCCATGGAGCGAGTAAAGCAGCAGCATTCGTTAAATGTTCAAGAGCAGCTGTTGGTAAGTGTTTAAAGACTGGACTGTCGGCCGAAAATCTGGGTCTGAACGTGCGTATTGTGGCCGTCAGCGACTAGTCAATGTTAGGGCAGAACGGAGAGTGGCAAGACTGTTACAAGACAACAGAAGGGCAACAGTGCAGTGTCAGATTCCTCGTATCACCTTTCAACATCTCGTGGAGTCACGGGGCGGCCCAACGAAGTCATCTCGTGGAGTTATCTCGTGGCCCAACGAAGTACTGATGGGGTGGTCATAATAATCTGGCCAGTGTGTGTGCGTGTGCGTGTGCGTGTGCGTGTATGTGTATCAGTAGCAGATCCTTTAAGTTGTGAGGTGGGCCCTCCATAGATTGGACTTGTTTTTTAGCACATCCCACAGATGATCGATTGGGCGAGATCTGGAGAATTTGGAGGTCAAATCAACACCTCAAACTTGGTGTTGTGTTCCTCAAACCATTTTTGAACCACTTTTGCAGTGTGGAAGGGAGTATTATCCTGCTGAAAGAGGCCACTGCCATCAGGGAATGCCATTTCCACTAAGGGGTTTACCTGGTCAGCAGCAATGTTTAGGTAGGTGGTACGTGTCAAAGTAACATCCACATGAATGGCAGGACCCAAGGTTTTGCAGCAGAACATTGCCCAAATCATCACACTGCCTCTGCCGGTTTGTCGTCTTCTCACATCCTGGTGCCATCTCTTCCCCAGGTAAGTGATGCACACTCGCCTGGCCATCCACATGATGTAGGCATATGATTCATCAGACCAGACCACCTTCTTGCATTGCTCTGTGGTCCAGTTCTGATCCTCACATGCCCATTGTGGGTGCTTTTGGCAGTGGTCAAGGAGTAGTGAGAGAACATCCTGGTTATTCAGCTACTACTACTACTACTACTACTACTACTACTACTACTACTACTACTACTACTACTACTACTACTCGCTTCTTGCATTCCCTGCTCTCTAACATATACTGGGGGGAGTGAAGGGTAGTGTGAAGGAATGAATCCCGTATGACAGGTTACCTTTCATATTCATTTCAAGGAGGTAAGTAAAAGGTTTGAATAATCCTAAAGGCGAATTATTTTTTCCTAATAGCACCCGAATGCACATGCAGTATAAAGAAATACTCCCTTCACACTGCATTGCATCGGTAGAGAACACGGGTAGGGTTGTGTCGCTGGGGGGAAAAAAAAGGCAGGAATGTTTTTTGGCTCATTGACACACATTACCCATAAATGTAATATGCAAAACAAGTCCCCGTGGCAAAAATGCCGCAAAACGTACACAGGAGGTGTGAATGGATCATTAATGTTTGAAAAATGGCTTTTCCCACTGTTAAGATATCAGATGAAATCACAGGACCCTGCCTCAGAACATCTCTCAAGAGCTCTCAGCCCTGATGCAAGCAGCGGGCTGGCTCTAGAGGAATAGTTATACAAATATCAAAATGCCTTGATAGCTTGATGTCAATCAGGAGGAGCGGGCATTCCTAGGCAGACAATGTTTGCCCACATATGATGCTGAGCTTCTGAAATCCAATTAATGAAAGGGGTGAGCCAAGGACAGTCAGGCTGGGGGGGGGGGAAGGAGCTAGATCAGGGGTGGGCAACTCTGACTCTCCAGCTGTGCTTTAACTACAAATCCTAACATGCCTCTACCTCTAGGAGTCATGTCTGTAACTGGCAGTCTTGCAATAACTCATGGGACTTGTAGTTCCAAAACAGCTGGAGGGCCGGAGTTGCCAACCCCTGGGCTAGATGACGCTGAATGTCCTTCAGCCAGGAAATGAGGCAGGCTCAACCCTACTGGCTAGCCACGAAGCGTCATCTGTTGCAAAGACCCTAGCAGCCCCACAGCATCACTGGTTCTTGTGGTGTGCCCATCTGCATCCAAGCAACCACTGATGCTGTGTAATCCAGCCACTAACATGCAAGCAGCCAATGATGCCGTGTGGTCCAGCCAGTAATATCCTAGCAACCAATGATGCTGTGTGATCCAGCCACTAACATGCAAGCAACCAATGATGCTGTGTGGTCCAGCCAGTAATATCCTAGCAACCAATGATGCTGTGTGATCCAGCTACTAACATGCAAGCAACCAATGATGCTGTGTGATCCAGCCACTAACATGCAAGCAACCACTGATGCTGTGTGGTCCAGCCACTAACATGCAAGCAACCACTGATGCTGTGTGGTCCAGCCACTAACATGCAAGCAACCACTGATGCTGTGTGATCCAGCCACTAACATGCAAGCAACCACTGATGCTGTGTGATCCAGCCACTAACATGCAAGCAACCACTGATGCTGTGTGGTCCAGCCAGTAATATCTTAGCAACCAATGATGCTGTGTGGGTCTCACAGCATCATTGATTGCTAGGACGCAGGCGCCCGACCTGAATTTCTGGCTTGCTTTGGCAAACCTTCAAGTAAAACAGAACCCATGGTAGTTTGCTCATCACTAATGCACATGCGGAGGAGCTCACAGTGTGCAATGAAATCAGATAAGTAATTTCAGTACAGAGAGGAGCCTGTACAACTGTGTAAGACTTAAGGCTCATTCACACCAATTGCGGTGCATTCCAGAGCGGTAGCTGCTGGAACGCACAGCAACCGCCCACAAAATTTCCCCCTTCGTTCTGAGGCGGGAGGGGGCGTGGCGGTGCATTGAAGTCAATGGCACCGCAGCCGTG